TTTAATGTCATAATACATTTTGTCATCCATAAATCTTGATATTTGGACTGTACAAAACTTTTGAAACATATTTTGTTATTAAAAGAACACTATCAGCATGTGTTGTTCCTAATGGTCTTCTGAAAGCTTTCCTTCCATATAGGTTTTATCTTTTGCATTTGACATATCTGGATATTTCTCTTTGGAATGTAGCTGAAACTAGCGTTACTGTTTTTATTTCCTTATTTATTTGACAACAAAAGAAATATTATGACTAAAAATAGCAACTATTGATTTTAACTTCCCACTGTGGGAGTGGGCAAGTGGGGCTTTTTTAAAACAAACAGGAAGAGTGAATGCATTTCTGTTTCTGCCTTAACTATTTATGTAGACAGCTTCAAGATTTTCTGCTTCTGCTGAAGTATTTGACAGCTTGATAACAAAATGCTTATAATAATACAAATAACAGCCTGTGTTGCTGGTGTGGGTTGTTTGGTTTTTTTTCATTCTCATTTTGATTAAAGTTGTAACTGATATGCAACACTTTCAGGGTACATCTGTACTGCTGTCAGCAGTATCGCTCACACAGAGGTAGCTGAGCTAGCTTTAAACGATCTAGCTCAGGTACTGGAAACTGTCTAGCTGTGACAGCAGAGTTTAGTCCAGTAATTTCCATGATGGAGTGAGGACAGGAGGATCTTGGGTTCCTTGCAATTCAGGTATTTGCTATAATTTAAGAGAGCTGATAAGCTATTCCTTTGTGAGTATATTTTTGAAAGTCATTATTTTGCAAAGCATACTGTTGCATTGTCAAATAAATGCAAATAATCACCATTTTCAGCTACTGCAGAGGGCTCATCTCAAAGGACAAGCTTATTTTCCTTCAGGAACACTGGTGCTAATTTCCATTGTTGTGTTTCAAGGTTTTGCACTCTGGAAAGGCTCTCACCAAAATTGTGGATGGAGGGCATTTTTTCTAGTCAGGGATGACTCCCCTGGGATTTGGGTTTTGGAGAGAGTGTTCTTCCCCACCCCCCAAACACAAAGGTTTTTTGCAATTTGCTATTTGTCACCCTCCTCCTAATATTTTCTGCTTTGTGGTGGTTTTGTGAACATTGGCCGAAAGGTTCAAGGAAGACCTTATTCTTTTGTTTTAGAATATCTGATTTCATATTTTGATTTGATGCTGTTGACAAGGGGTGCCCAAAGCACTTGGAGTAATGTATTGAACAGCCAGAAACATATCATACATTCAGAACAGCTAAAAATTCTTTGAAGGAAAATAAAACAGCAACAAATAAGTCTCTAATGCTAGTCTGTATTTCAAGAGATTAAGTCTACTGCTGGGAGTAGTGGGAGGATTGGGTTGTGGGTTTTTTTTCCCCAACACGTGAGGATAGTGTTACCAGAATTAACTCGCCTTGGATTACCTCAGTCACTACAGTTAACAGTAAAATGAACGGTAAATTCTTTGACATCAGTCAACACGTATATAAAATGACTTGTCTTTGAAGTGGTGGTTAAAGGCAGCAATCAAAAGACAAAATGGTATTCAATCAAAAAAATTGTAAGCTTTTAGTCCTGTATGCATGTGTAGGTTCTGCCCAAACAGAAGCTTCCCACAAAGATGAGATTTTTCAAATGATTTGTGGACTTTCATTACTTTTTTAAATTACAGAAATATCGATAACTTTAAAAATTCATTTTCTAAATTAAGTAATTTCTCTCCTGTAGTTCCTCACGAGTCATTTGGAACAGTATTTCTTATTATCTGATACCTGTGCTTGTTGTAGTGGGCAGCAGTGCCACAAATCCATCCTTACCATGCGTGGTAGCAATGAGTAACACCCCCACTGGTGAGGGGTGTTGCTGCTGGAGTGTCGTTACAGACACTAGGTGATGAAATGGAAAGCATTCACCTTGCCATGTAAACTGTCGGATTTTGATGTGCAGATTACAAAGCCTTATCTGTAATACTGAGTTACAGCAGTTTGAATATCTCTTAAGTTTAAACTGAAAACCTTAGTTGTTTAAAGAATATGTTGCTAATTCTAGAGGACCTTTAAAAGTGTTGAAAGAAATGATAGGTGACTGAGTGCAAGGCACCTGGAGTTATTTTTAAATAAACTTTTGTAATCTTGTATAGCTTATATATTGCTGTAATACAACACTACATGCTAAGACTTCAGCAAATTTTCCCAGAGGTCCTTCTTGCTGTTTGTAATTCAGAGAATGAGATGAGCCTTAGCATCAGCATGTTAAGTGTGCTGGGCCTGACAGTATGGTGTGGATTAGAAAGTTTCGTACTGTAGTAAGCCAGGTACATACTGGAGGCATGAGAAAACTCCTTTTTGGACAAGCTTTTTCTGACATGATGGATGTTGCCTGATATCTTTCAAGAAGCAGTGAGGAATTAGTTTGGATAAGATTCCTGGGAGTTTGGGTAAAAAGTTGCTTTCCAGAAGGTTCAACTTTTTGCCTACTAACCTGTTCCTTATGGCACGAGTTGTAAGCAGTGGGAGGAAAAAACAGACTTTTGATACATCTCTATTTACAGGGCATCTGCTGTGATCTTGAATGGTGGAGGAGTGTCATGCAGGTAACTGAGAGTGTTATGGGAGGGTCTTTGTTCTTACTCCCGCCTGGCCTGTAGCCACAGAGGAGGAACTGGAAGATAGCTTGATGAGAACAAAACCACTATGCCTTGAACTTACTTATGGCCCCTTACTTTCTTACTTACTTACTTACTTACTTTCTGATACAGTGCTAAATTCCTCATGCTATACTATATTGTCCATCTGGGGCAATACCTGTAAAATGTTAACATTTTGCCTTGTAAAGAAGTATGATCAGTAAGGTGTTGACTGACTGACCGGTAATATGCCATTTATAGGGTGGTGTAAAAATACACGGTAAGGTATCCTAGGTATTGGACATTCCGAGAGAAAAAGATGAGCTTGTATTTATTCAGTTTCCAAAACATGGATATCAGTTATTCTTTTAATTCAGCTCTCGCTAATTCTGAAGAATCTGTTGCTCAACAAGTTTCTAATGCCACCAGTGACTTCGTGAAAGCATTCATATTTTTCCTAATTATTAAGAAAAAAAATCTTTCAATAGTTATGTAATATTAACATGTGGAGCTATTCATTCTCGTCCCCGTCCCCGTGTCCCCCCCCCAGCTAGGGCATGCAGTGTCAAATACATCAACGTTACGACTGTAGGAGTACTTCTTTTTATCCTGCATGAATTATTGCTAATAAAAACAAAAGCAAACTAATGTCATGCTCCTAACTATGTGAAGGAAGCCTTCGTTTACTTCATTCCTGTTGTTCTGCTGTGACACTGTATCTGAGACTAACTTCTTTACAGTTGGGAACAATAATTTTTCATATTAAACTACATGTGAAAGTACTCTAGTACTTAATTAGAGGAAAAAACCTAGTCAGTTCACTAAATGTTCTTTGTTGCTCTCAGTCTTGTTTCATCAGTCTTGAATGTTGTAATTCAGCTGGTCCCAGTTTTAAGTATATCTTTCAGTTTGGCAGCAGCAGGGGGAGTAGTGTAGCTTTATTTGGGCGCTCTCCTTGACCAATGCTCGCATTATTTGATTATTAGCCCAGAACAATGCTGTTCAGGCCCAAAAATCAGCTCATCTTAGGAAATCTTCCACTTCTCTCTCTCTCGGTGAGCTAGAAATATTATTCTGCAAGCTTCATCTTGCTGCACTTCTGTGAAGCCCATCTTTCCACAGATGCAGAAGTGTGCCTGCAGTGGGTAAATTATGATCAGGTTTTACTCAGGCTTTTTTGTGTCCTGGTGCAGAAGCAGGTCAGGCCAATTAGACTCATAGTCATGAGGCTGGAAGGGATCTTTGGGACATGAGCTGGTTCAGCTGCCTGCTCAGAGCTGGTCCAGCACTGAATGCAGACCAGAGCTTTGTCCAGTTCAGTCCTGAAAACCTGCAAGGGTGGAGATTCTTGCACCTTTCTGGGTAACCTAGTCTAATGCTTAATTATCTTCATAGTGAAATATTTTTCCTTATCCTGTCCCGTGCTAATGTATTGTAGGTCTCTTCCAACAGAAATATTCTATTCTATATTCCATTCCATTCCTGTTGTCCCTTGTTCCCTTGCCATGCACCTTTGTAAATAGTCAGGCTCATCTCACATTTTATAATGTTTTTTGACAGCTCCCTTTTTCACCTATATATTCTATTGCAAAACAGGGTTTTTTTTCCACTGTTTTATTTACTTTATAGATTTCTAACTGAAGTCTCTGGTTCAATGTTTTTGGTCAGTAATACACACTAAATAAAATGGCATCAAATGTTCCTATTTTTTGTAAGACCATTGCATTGTTGGTTCATGCTCATTTTGTTAACCCCTATAATGTGTGTATCCTTGTGTTGCCTATAAGGAACTGCCTTCTGTATTACAAATATACAGATCTTCCCTGAAACAGTAGTGTCAGGACCTTATATGTGTATCATCGTGTTGCAGCGAGCGTATTAGACTTTTCTTTTTTTTTTTTGTTAGGGAAGGAGTCAGTGTAGACTGTAAATTTGAAAATGCAATCAAGTACAGGGTGGAGAGCAAATAGCACGGTAACATGTCTGTGTACTCATCTTAAGCAGAAACTGATTTTAAAATTTAATTACTGTGCAATCTAGTATCATGTTGGTCAAATCTAGATTCATGGATTTTTTCATCTTTATATTTCTGTTGTTTTTACTTGCAAGTTAATTTAATCTTGTGCTGCACATAATGTCACTATGTTCCCACATGAATTTGAGATAAAAATATTATTTTCCATGTATCTGCCTAGTTTTTCTCTAGTGAAAATGTGTTAGGGTATTGTGTTGCTGCCATGTAATTATAGCTGTGTTACATTTTTGGCATTTGTTGAATTAATCCCTTGCATACTTCCTCAAAATCAAACTGTTATTTAGATAAGCTCCTGACATAATAATATAAACCCTTTAAAATAATATTCCTATATACATATGTGTTTGTAGGAAGAAGACCAAGATCAGGATGCCATAGGTGAAAAGAAGATTATGAATCGGACATTTCTTTCTCTTTCCCAAATTACTGCTTTGTCAGAACAAAATGTAGCAGGAGTTCAAAAGTAAGTGGTAATGATAAAAATGCTAGAACCAATGTAATAATGAAATAGAAATTGTAGACTGTTTGGTAGATTTCTTTTGTGATGGTTACATCATTAGTCTTTAGTTGTTCAGTTGAATCATTGATATTTAGTATGAATCATGAAAGACAGGAAGAAATACTGTTGATCTCAGATCCACTTTGTTTTACTGTATTTCCTATATCTCTTGATTTTTCTTTGACTCTTTTTTTTTTCCCCACTGATATTTCACATTGATATGGTTTCCGAGTTTACAAAAGTATTAAATATGCTGTAAATGAAAATAAGAAGAGGCCAATACTGAGCTTTTTTATAAGTCTCACTTGGTAACTTTTTTTCTAAAACGTTTAAGATTCTGTACTGTAACATAAGTTATTGAAAAATCAGAAAGGTTTTAAAAGTTCAGAAAGGGATGGAAAGCTCAAGAAGGTATTAGTAGGTAGCCATTATGTTGCACTGGGGATACAGGGGGCAGCCAAAGACTTCTGATGTCAGCCCATCTTGTCTTTCCTGTAGCAACACACTCCCTTGTTATTAGTGCTTAATAGCAGCTAAATTTAGGAGGCCAGGAGTTCAACCTGAGACTCTAGACTTATATTTTTAAGGATGGGATTTTTCAGAAGTGCCCAAATTATTTAGGAGCACTTATGTCTACTAGCAAATTCTTAGTGAATTGAAAGTCAACTGGGTTTTCTGGGATTTTTTTTAAGAAAACCGGAAAGATTTGTTCCCATCAAATAATAAAAAATAAAATTTCTTTCATTTACTGTTTTCTCTTGCACAGTCAGCCTCTTATTTTAGAGGAGGCTGAAGCATACGACTCACTGGAGACCAAAATGTGCTTAATGCAATTTATTGTGAAACTTTCTCATTAAGATTAAAAAGAAAAGCCTTGAAAGATAGTACTTTTCTTCTTAGTCTCAGCTGGTCACATACCTTTTCTTTTATGTATATACACACACACTGTACAAGTCGAATGTAAAGCATATACTGTATCTGACTGAAAAGAGAGTAGTTACAGGGTATTTTATGCACTCTAAGCAGTTTAGCAGCAGCATTGAAATGTTGTTAGTTTACCACAGTGCATCATGTCTGTAGACAAGAGCAGTTTGAAGGCCACAGCTAAGGTTAGAAAATCAGCATAGATCTGATTCATTATGAGAATTTTGTGGTCCTGCGTTCCCATCTATCATGGAGTTTTATACTGCTGCCTGTCTCCGTAGGACTTGAGCACCGTCGGTGAAGGGAGCAATAACAATCAGGGTAACTAGGAAATCTAAACACCCCATCGTTTCCCAATCATTTATAGATCCTGTTGTCAGTGACATGCCTTACAGAACATTGTAAAGATGAGTACTGGCATTGTTAGCAGCATCAGAGAAAATCTAAATCCCTGAGAAGCTCTGATTGTGAAAACACAGAGTTGGCAGAAGCTTCAGAAAGAGAGGATATGGACTGTTTCAAACCTTGGAAAGTTAAGCTGGCCACATTCCACTTCTATTTCAGTACACAGTTAAGTGTTTTTAACCGACTTGCATGTCTACAGCCGTATAAATTTGTCATGCAGAACAAAGGAATACATGTTTTAAACAAAACTGATTGGATTATATGCTTTACTTTGTTAGCTATTGAGGTTTTAATTAAAAAAAGAAACTCATCTTATTTGACAGTATATCTCTGCTGGCTTGGTGAAAACCGTGAAAAACTAATGGTTGCCTATCAGTAGGTAGGGATTAATGCCCTTCTTGGGAAAAATGAGAAGTGGGGGGCAGGACGAAAGACTTTGCTCTTCTACAGAGGACTAGAAACTGTGATCACAACTGGCACCTGTATCATCAGGTATAGTTAAGAAGCCAAGGAGCCAAGAAGCCATTACATTTTTTAATGTAAAACCTAACTACCTGAGACATGGCTGATGTAATACTGGAAGAACTGCAAACTGAAGCCCTAGCCCTGATCCCCTCTCTTCATGTGGAAAAATGTGCACAATTATCATAAAAGACATAACTAATTCTGTGTTTGGATAGAGTAGACATAAATGTGTCAGCAACAGCGTGATCTCCTACAAGGGAGTGTATTTTTTCATTACTTTTTCAAGTTAAACTCAGTGGAAAACTTTCCACAGTGTGCCAGTAAAATAGGATGAGGCTTTTCTTACGTCTTGACCATTATGAAAGTGGAAGTTGAACTTCTAAATATTTTAGGTACTTTCAGTAATTTTATATTCTATTATTTACATTAATTTTCAAATGTAATTTTTCTTCAGAGGCTACATGAAAAATAATCTTGAAAGGCAAGCAAGATCTTTTTAGTACTGTAAAGCTATCTCAATCAGAGTGAAAGAGTGGTCGTAGAAAGTGCAGACTAATTGTTCCATTTCATCCTACAAACCCCTTCCTGAACAAACACTAATTTTTCGCTGGGTTTTCCAGTGTATTTCTCTTTGTTTTTTGTAATTATCTTATTTTTGTTATTTTGTTAATTATATCTTAACAGTTAAATAGTGTCTGTTAAAACCTGTAGGTGTGTGTTTACTTTTTTAGTTCATATGTTTTCTGATCATAAACGTTCATATCTAGAAATTGATGTAGCTGAGTTCCAGGAAGATATAGCCATGTATGTATAATATAACATTATATATTATATATAGTTATATTATAGGTATAATTACTAGCAGACTGATTGAAACTTTGGAATCTGTAATTTATTTCTTAATTTCATTATTTTACTCTGCAATTTCTTCCAGAAAGCTGGAAGAATTTCTGAATTTTAAACAATTAAAGACATCTTTGAAAGAAGCTATTTTGCTCGATTATTATACTGCAGGATTTTGCTGGGCTAAAGAAATGAACTTCAGTCTTATACAGCTCTCAGGATTCATGAATCTATTAAATTTCCTGTTGGAGAACCTCAGTGGTAAGTATAATTTAAAATTATAAAATAAATATCTGAAGTGGAAGGCTAGAATGTTTTCCAGTCATTTTAATAAAGTGATATTTAATTACAAGTAATTGTAAAATTACTTTTCCTCTTGAATGTTGGCATGTTATACCTTGTACCTGAAAATAATTCTTATTGGCAGACGTTAAACTTTCATTAGAGAGTACTGTAGTCTTTTTACCAGAATATCCCTCATTCTTTGTTTGTACAGTATGTGGTTCAAAAGGGCCAGGTCCTGAAGAGACCTCATCTTTGCTATGGTAAAATAAATAATAATTGCAGTAGAGTGAGAGCAAGGAGCTCCTAAATTCCAATTCCAGCTGTCTCAGTGACTGACTCACTGTAGCCTTGGGCACATTTCTCTGCTGTTTGAGATATTCAGTACATCCTGTAGCGTTACAGCAGGTGAATTACATTTATTTTATCCTTGGAGGTCAACTCTCAGGCAGCTTTCTATATGGCAAATGCTGCACTTCTGGCACAAAATATATCGGTTAACTAAAGACCGGTGAGGGAAGTAAACTGGCATCACTGCCAAAGATGAGAAATGACCATGAGAGGACTGTAGCTCCTGTGGCCGCAAGGAAATTTGCAACAAAGCATGTAGCTGGGATCTAGTGGGAACAAAATAGCCAGAAAAATGGTAGCAGCCTCCTCTAAAACCCATTTTTCAGAGATCACGGTGCTTACTTAACATTCACTTTGAAGGTGATTATGTTGAGAAAAGTCCATCCCAGAGGAAGAGCGAAAGGACTCAGCGGTTCCATTCAAAGAAGAGATGAATATTTAAAATCAAGCTTATAATAGTTATTATACTCTTTCATTGTAATTTAATTCAAGGGCCTTTCTGACTTGGAGTTTTGACAGAATATGTACGTGCTTTATGATCATTAGAATTCCAGTTGTCCTTCCTGTCTCCAATGAGAAAGTATCTTAACATATGCTAACTATATTAATATAACAATAGAGAAGAATGGAAACATCTCAGAAATTAGTTTTATGAGCCTGTATGTAATGCCTGTGTACTAGACAGGCTGGTAGCACAACCAATCATTAAAGCTGGCTGACATTTTTCAGGAATGTGATCTTAGTTGCAAGTTTGCCAAACTTTAACTCTTTAAGCTGAAGTTTTCTGTGGCAGGGTCTGCCTCTGATTAATTTTTATATATAAAATTACAACTAAAAAAGTTCAATGGGCTTGCAGACAGAGGCTGTGGAAAAAAAAATCTATTATTTTGTGCCCCTTTTTTTTTAACAGCTTTAATACCCCTGTGCTTTGAAGTAAAGAAATAAGGTTTGGCAAGCAAGTGTTGTGAATTTGCTTTTTGCTGTCCTGTGAAAATCCATTCGGATTTGGCTAAGATACGTGGCTTTTAGGGAAATTTTTAAAATGCAGTTTGTAAATGCTTACAGGAGACTTTTTTTTTTTTTTTTTTTCCACAACTAAGTTCCCTGAATAATCCGTCTTACAAAGTATGCTGTAGCCCAGGGCTGAGATGAATTTCCTTGTAATTACTGTTCTCAGACGGTGCAAGTTCCAAGACCAAACATTTCAACTAGGAGCAAAATGCTAATGTCTTCTATAT